TCTTTCTGCATTTGACATCATTGCATGGCTGCATCAGTCTAAAGAGGAATTTATGGACTAGTATTGACATATGGGCTAATATTGGACTTATCGACTTGATCTGGACTGGGCTGGGATGTTTTCTTAATGTACAATTGCTCTTTATATAAAGCTCTTTCTTATAAACATATCAGTTTCCTGGATTTGTTTCTCTAGTCAACCCAGACTAGCACCCTCAGCATAAAGGTTTCCATGTCCATCCATGTCATGATTTTCTTGGGATGCATTGTATTCCATTGTGTTTTTACCAAGGGTTCTTTATTCAACTTGTTGCTATTGTCAACTGCTTCGGTCAATCTTGTGTACAATACAAAGATATACAAAGAAACACAGAGTTAGATGCCTAGACACATGGAGATCTCCAAGGAACCAGAAGTTGAAGATCCAAAGGACTTTCTTAAGAGCTGAGGGAGGGAGGGAGGGAGGGAGGGAGGGAGAGAGAGAGAGAGAGAGAGAGAGAGAGAGAGAGAGAGAGACTTAGACTTAGAGCCACCATTCTGAATTCAGACTTTTACCATGTAGCTCACATTAAAGGCCATGTGCTAGGCAGGGTTCTCTACAGAAGACATACAGCTGCTGTGGTAATTAGTACATGCAGCCATACATGGAGTTCAGTTTCACTCACTTTGGTGGTATAGTTAATATACTGAAGGTCCTTCAACTCATGCAGGCCTCTGGTCCAAGGTCAAGGAAGCAGACAGTGGAATCTGCCCTTAGGCAAGACAAGCAGTGTCGGCCACTGGCCACAGACACGGTAGAGTGGGGTGGCAATAGGAGGAAGAAGAGAAACCAAGGCATAGCAGAGGCCAGTAGCATGGCTGCATAGTGAAGCAGGTCCTGATGGAGCCTCAAGCTCTAACAGTGTACAGTAAGGCCGACACAACCTGCCAGCAATGTGGCAAAGTAGGTCTAATCACTAGGGAGAAATCAAATTGAAAACTGATTGACAGTCTAAACTCTGCCCACATGTTCCTATGGGAGCCATGTTGGCACAGAAAATCTAACTATCACAGGTCAATAACACAATATGTTCAGAATCACTAAGTTAAAAACATGTAAATAAATCTTGTGTAATTTTGGACCTCCAGAATGGCCACGATTTCAATGAATACAAACCCAGAATAAATTTTGGCAGAATCTTATAGGACGCCACGGCAGTACATAACCAAAGAGATACAAAGCCAAAGCCATGGGCATTAAGAGAGACAGTTGGGCTAGCAAACAATCCAGGGGTAGACAACAGATTTTGTTTTATGCCAAGATGCAGCATCACCTCTATGAGATAGATTAAATTCAGGGCGAGAGAAAGAAAAAGACCAAACATTGCACTGGAAGCCCGGCGGAATGGGTTTGGCTTAGTAAGATTAAGTTTGCTGATGTTAAAAGGGAGCAGGGAACGCTAAATAGAATCGGTATGTCATTGAATTTATCTATTTTGTTATAGATTGATTTGTGTCCTGGAAAAATATGTGTCAACTTGGCTAGACCATGCTTTTCAGCATTAAGTAATTATCCTCTATTTTGTGGTTTGATGTAATTATCCTATATGCTAGACATTTTAACCACTGTGATGTTAAGAAAGCAGGAATGGTGACAGTTATCCACTACTCTGTCAGTTTGTCATGTCATGACTTGTGTGTTTCTGTGATGCTGGGATCTAGGTCACAGGGTTCAGCAGAGCTTCCAGACTAAGACAGAAGAGGGAAAAAAAGAATAGGCAGTCCACCTCTGAGGGAAAAGCCACTGAACCCTTATGAAGAATAGTTAACTTTGTCTGATGTCGTGCAAGAAGACGAACCACTCAGGTTGGAAGGCACCATTGACACAATGGCTGCAACAATGGGCTTAATATGACCATCATTGTGAGGATAGCATGGGACGGGGCAGTGTTTCTCTCTGCAGTACAAAGGGTTGATGTGTACCTAACAACAACAACAATGTTAATAAGCGAGGAAAAAGAGAGACCACCACCAAGGAAGAAGATCCAGGAGTGTCGTGTGTCCTTTTGAGTCCAAGGTCCCTGTGCTGTGAACCTAGAAAGACCTAGGGGAAGATTGATGGCAAACCACATGGAGGTCTGCAAAGGATAGCAAACCCACCGATGTTGGAAGGAGACAGGAATCTTCCTCTGGAGCTGACAAAGTCTTTCTCTAGAGCTGGTACCCTGAATTCAGACTTCTAAAGGGTCCTCAACTGAGAAAAATTAAATTAATATTTGTTAAAGTTAGCCACTTGTGGTATTTCTGTGATAGCAGCAGTAGATAACTAAGACCATATAATTACATAGAGCTACTCATTCACCCACATACATATACATGGTCTTCATGGTAAAATCAATAACTATTTAATAAGGAAGGTTAGCCAAACGAAATACAATCATGGTAGATATTAGATTAAGCCACATGGAATTGACTGTATGAAGGACTTAATTTGCATAACTGCCAATTTCTGATGGATTGATTTAATATACATGGAAGGAGGACTTGCTAACCTTACTACACAGAATTGGAGACACGGCTTTTGTCACCTGTACCTGTGGGAAAACTTAGTCATGTTAAATCTACATTTTATTCTCTTTCAATTTCTTTCTCTATGCGGGCAGTTAGAGAGTGGTAACGTTTTAGATGTGAATTTAGGGAAAAATGGAAAGAATTCTTAGGCCTGGAGGATCTTACTTGGCAGCTGTTTGCAAGACGTAATTGCCCTTGCCCCAACAACACAGAGAAGACTGATGATACAGTCCCTTTCAATGGCTCTGTCGTGTCTACAAGATAAATTCTCAGCTCTAATGGAAGGCAGAGAAAGCCTGCGTTTGCTCTGGCCTCATTTCCCACTGCTCCTAATCCTACTGGGGCAGAGATGGTTATTGTCCAACAACACACTCAGCACTCCTCTTCAGAATGCAGAATTACTCTGGAAAATGACTCCCAGCCAGGGAGTCATATCATATTTCTCAGTGCATCTAGATGGGCCATGTAACTGTATCTGGCTAGTGAAATGTGAGGGGCATGATGCGTGACAATTCCACTTAGATGGGCTAAATAGTATACTCTCTTCCTCCAGTCTGCTGGTTCAATGTCACCAAGGTGACCTTAAAGCCACAGAACTGAATCAAACTGGGTCCTTGAGTCCCCATTTGGAGGAAAGCCACCTTGGAGAGTTGTCAGACCAGGAACTTCTACAATGAACTTGGCACCGGTGAGGAAGAAACTTTTATTTTGCTAGTCACCGAGATTTGGGGGTTTGTTTGCTTCAGCAGCACAACCTCTCATTCACTGACGTAGAGTTGATTGCGACTCATTGCCATCCTACAAGACAAAGTTGAATTGCCCCTTCGCATTTCCCAGACTCTTAACTCCTTAGGAGAGTAGAAAGCCTCATCTTTCTCTAGAGGAGCCACTGGTGGTTTCAAACCGCTGACCTTGAGTATAACAGTCCAACATGTAATCTACAACACTAACCTAGCCCTACTTAGTACTCCTATCCTTTAATATTGAAAATCACTGACTGTTCCCTCCATTTATCAAGTTGTTTTCAGTTGGCCTTGCTTTGCAAACTCTGTCTCTGTCAAGAATACCTTCTCCCATTTCTATCTGACAAACGGTCAAGGCTCAGATTATTATTATTTTTTTTTAGCTGCCCTTGAGCCTGACCCTGACTCATGACAGCTCCCTGCACAACAGAATGCATAATCTTTTAACTGGTTTATTTTTTGGAAGTAGATTGTCCGGTCTTTCTGCCTAATATGTGTTTTTGTTTTGTTTTTTTGCAGGAGAATAGGTTCTCCTGCAGCCTATTCAGCATCGTAGCAACACACAAGCCTCCAGGGACAGTGGTGGCTAAGCTTGGTGTGTGGGCTGGGAATCAAACTCAGGTGTCCTGCATAGAAGGTGAGAATCCTACCCCTGAACCACTACTCTCCCCTGGACTCACGTTGACACCTGTCCTGTGAGTCTCTCTCTGATTTCTCCGTGCTCTTTGCTGCTTCCTCTTTTATACGCTCATTCCTGATATCATTGTCTCTATAAAACTATGTGGATATAGTTGTCGATTCCAGAAATTGTGAACTCTGCATTGTAAATGCAGGCTTTAGGTTGCATTCTTAATGTTCATAGCACCTAAATAATGGCACTTTCTCTGTACATGGACTTCTGATTAACCCATGCTGGTGACTCCATTCTAACTCATAGAGCCCCGTAGGACAGAGTGCAACTGCCCCTTAGTGTTTCGATGGGGGCCATCTCTATGGAAGCAGACTGTCGCATCTTTGTCCCTCAGAGCAGCTGGTAGGTTTGAATCATAGACTGCATTAGCTGCCCAGCCCGACACACACCCCACTGTGTTGATCCCTGAACCCATAACACAGCCAGATTTCAGATGACCCCACGCCATCAAGTGAGTTCTGACTCACGGGGTTTTCATGACTCGAAATTTCCTGGGAGCAGAGAGCTTCATCTCCCCCCCTGGGCACATTCGGTGAACTTGAACCCCAGGCCTTGTTCCTAGCAGCCCAGAACAGCACCCACCATGCCACCAGGGCTTCCCATCAGGCTATGAGAAGTGAGGGCTGAGAGAGCTCGGGGTTGCAGCCTTTATTCCTTTGATCCCAGGATGTAATTGGTCTAAATTGGATTAGTAGCTTTTCATTAGGGCCGGGATATTCCATTAGGGTGGCACTATACTGGAAATCAGTAAAAAGATGTAAAAGCATTGCACGCGTAATGAAGTGAGCCCCTGCAATTTGTCTTTCGCAAGTCGCTGACGGATGGTGACAAAGAACAGTTTTCAGCAGGTGTGCTTCCCATGGTTGCAAATTGTGTTTAATGTGCACTTTGCTTAAAAGACCGTGGGAATTTGGCTTTCCCCAGAGGTCTGGCCAGAGACATTGGCAGTCCCTTGGCTTCTCTGTGAAACACGGCCTCTTTGCAAGGACAGTGAGGAAATGAAAATGCAGGTTCAAATGAACTGGAAAATGCTTTATCAGAAAGTGCTTTAGAAACACTGCCCGAGATTCTAACATAGCTTATAGAGTGAGAACCCAGCTTTAATACAAACGGAATACTATCGGTTAAACGCAATCCTGCCCTTCCTTAACCCCATGGAAGGTGAAGACCCTCACTCCTTGGGGTTGCTGACGACGGCCGTGGTGGAATAGGAGTAGGGACTAAGCAGAGCTGCGATGGTGTAATGGCGGAGCCCAGAGTCGTTGGCCGTGAACACCACCTAAGAGAGAACACAGACAGCGTCTGGTTTTAACAGAGTCAAAAACACACTACTGGACCTTGAGACCAGTGGTCAGCTGGTGCCAAATCAATTGAAGATTTTTAGTACTTTTTGTTATTTTCCCAAATATGCTCGCAAATTGAGCCAGTGGAGCCAGGGGCACTAGACAATCGTTCTTCACTACAGCCTGCCTGAGTAAAGTGAAGTCTCTTATTTTGTAAATTCACAGAGAGGAGCCGCAGGGAGCTGCAATGCTCTTGCCCGGTTTCTCAGTTTGCAAACAACTGACATTTGGGAGGAAGCGGGAGGAAATGTGGGAATGGATAATTAATAAGACTGCCTGAGAATAGTGATCTCTCAAAAGCAAAACAAAACAAACTCACCCCTTGGATAGGGTTTCTGGGCTGTAAAGCCTAATGGATACAGCTAACCTCAACTTTCTCCCTTCCAGCAGCGAGTAGCTGGTGGGTATGGGACACAGCTGGGAGGTTAGCTGTCCAAATGCCACGAGAATGCTAATCTACTTCCAGAGCCTTAACCCATCAAAACTTGATGTATCCATTGGGCTGCCAATGTTACTTTAGACTTAGATACTTAGAATTTTAGAGCTGGCAGGAAACGCCACTCCCATTTTACAGATAAGCCAACCAAGCCTCTGGATTAGAGTGCCGTGCTCAAGTTCCTACAGTGACCGAGGCGGGCCAGAAAGGAAGACTCTTGCTGTCAAGGTCAGAGACCAATCCCTTGACTATTTCTTTACATTTTCTATAAGAACAAGAATGTATTTTAATGCACATAAATAATGTAATAGCATTTATAATATGCATTTCTATTGTATACACAAAACAATTTAATGTATATAGTGTTATATACACTTTAATGTATATGGGAAACAAATAAAATGCACACGAAAAGCATTTAGTGTCCTTGTGAGGTGCCTGGCTGCTAACCGAGAGCTTGGTGGGTGGAACCCACCGGGCAGTGGCTCTGGAGGAAAACCTGGTGCCCTGGTCCTGTGAAGAGTGGAGCTTAGCCCATCCTTTGGGGAAGTTCTTTTCTATGAATCATCATCAACTCAATGACTTCCAACAATCACAACCATCTACAACATAGTTAGAAAGTGGAAAATCACATTGGAATTCTGAAATATCCACCCCTTGGCTAGAGATAAGTTCCGCTTTCCTTGTCAAATTGTTGACCAAATAGTTGTTCCAGTTACTCGTAGCCTACTTGCAAATGGAGCACAACATCTCAGACTTGGAGACTGAGCAGCTAGGGTTCCCAGCGGGAGGGAATTTGGGATGCATCTGGCTCAGAAGGTAGCTGGAGGTCAGGAAGGAAGTGCTGACTTTTACTGGTTTCACGGTCAGGCACGGATTTGATCTCTGGACATCCCCTGGAGAACCACGTTCTGATCCAAGTAGTTTTTAAAAAGCAGCAGGAATCGCCGAGGGGTGGGGATAATTACACCAAAATAAAAAACATTAGGGCAAGGAGGGGAGAGGAGCATGTTAGAATCGCTACAAAGGGGGGAAAATGAGGACCTGATGCCAGGGGCTTAAGTGGAGAGCAAATGTTTTGAGAAGGATGAGGACAATGAATGTACAAATATGCTTGACATAACTGAAGTATGTATGGATAGTAATGAGTTTATGTGCCCCTAATAAAGTAAAATTAAAAAAAATCTCTACGAAGGAGAAAAGGCCACGTCTCCGGAAGTTCCTGGGGGGAAGGAGCCGTTGCTTAGGGTGGTGCTACCTCTAGTCCCACTCAGTTATCTGGTGTTGTCACATAGAAACACGCAAAGGAAGTGGTTTTGACGACAGACATTTATGGTCTCACAGTTCAGGAGGCTAGAAGTTGAAACTCAGGGTCTTTCCCTGTCTACTTCCGTTCTAGTCACTGTTAGCACTCCTTGGCTTGTAGGTAAATCTGCCTCCCTCATCCCCTTCCTCTTTCCCCTGTGTGTCTCTGGTTCTAGTCTGAGCTCTTGATAACTCATCTGTGATTAAGGTAGGGGCTGCTCTACTCTCTCATGGCTTCATTAATGTCGCCAGAGACCCCTTGTTCTAACAGGGTCATTTTACAGGCACGGAAGTTAAGATTTGAACATTTGGGGGGAGGAGGTACACAATCATATCCACAGCACATGCAATCTTCCTGAAAATTGCAAATGGCATAATCTACATTCAAGATCCTGTTGAGTGAAGGGGCCAATAATTCCACAGGACATTTTTCTCCTTTTTCACAGTGAGTCTGAGGAGGATCTGACTCGTATTGAAGGATAGCAACTCAATGGGAGTTACTTCTCGGAAGGAGTTGGCAGCAAGGTAAGGGGCTTATGGCTAAACCCACCAGGGACCTGTCACCAAGGTGAGTCCTTGAAGGTCACCTTTGACTATTTGCTCTGTCATTCCCTTTATCGATCCAGACGTCAAGTTAGCGTGCTGATTCTACGTAGGATGGCCTACCTCCACCCCTTCCCTTCCATTCCAAGGGCAGGCACGTGTTTTCAAAATGTTGCGTGAATACTGACAGAAAGTAGAACAGATGAGGAAGCCGTTATCTATGCGATGGGCGGAATAGCTGTGAATCTTTCCAGATGATACAAGCAAGCTGTGACCAGACTGGACTGGCTCCTGGGAGGCTTATCTAGGGACTGAGAGTCTAGTGGAAAACATCATGTGATGGGAGCTGTCTCGCTCCTAGGCTCAGTGTCTTCCTGCCAGGCTGAGAGGCAGCTAGCAAGACACTTCTTGATCGATAGGGCTTTCTTTGTGGCTTGGGGACCTCCTGAGTCAAACAGAGCTCTGTGGTTTCCCTGGCAACACTGCCCGCCAGAAAAAGACAGTGTTGTATCAGTTGACCATTTCATCCATAATTAAGCCAGAGAGGATGGTTCCCTATCATGTTGAGGTATGTTTGATGCAATTAGTTGATGTCTAATTCTGTCCAACATGTCTGGATTCTATTTCCATGGCAGCCATCTGGATTAAATGACTGAAAGAATTAGAGACAAAAAATAAACAAGAAAATTGGGTCCCTGTATCAGTGACTGAGATTCTCTAGTATCTCTTAGGGGCCCTGGCATTACACCATTTGCACAATTAACACACTAAGCTGCTAACCAAGAGATCGAGAGAAGTTCTACGGTGACACACATAGGAGCTCCATGAGTTGCACCCGGTAACAACTGGCGAGCTCTATCTGATCACCGAGAACCCAACTCCCTGCCATCGACTCAACGACACCATCGGTCAGGGTAGAACTGCTCTGGAGCTGCTGAGACTGTACCTTGTAAGAGGGTACAAAGCCCCATCTTTCTCTCGAGGAGGCTGGTGCTTTAGAACTGCTGCCTTTGTAGTTAACTCAACTGTAACCACGGTGCCACCAGGGCTCCATCAAGCATAGGAATGGAGTATCCAAATGCAACTTTTTTTAAAGCCTTGTTTTTCCTCCGAAAGCTCATCCCGTCCTGACCCCCTCCCCTTACATATGACTTGGACAGGTTGCTTAAGTTTCTAAGGCCTCACTTTCTTCATCTGTAAAATGGGAATAAAAACAAGATCCACTTTAATGTACTGTTTAGGAGAATTAAGCGGATCACCCATACAAAGCATTTACATGGTGCCTGACACTTGATAACTTATCAATTGCTCTTATTATTTTGAATTTGCCGTTTCTACTTAAATCAGGAAGATGGTAAAGTAATGCAAGTCCACAACCACTTATCTAAACCTCTTGAGGGAGTTGGAATGTGTTTTGGAATTCAGAGATTTTTCGTATTTGAGAAATGTAAAGTGGTGCATATATCTTTTATTTACCTAAACTCTACATGGAGTCTGGAATGTTGCCTTATAATCAAGCATATGCATTAGGCAAACAAACAAACATTTGTATCAAATGGAATGTATCAAAAGTATAAATAAAGTCATGTAATTTCAGCTTCTGTTAGCAAATGAGTTTTCCTGAACTTCAAGAAAAACGTTGGCTTTTTGAATTTGGCAAAATGGGATTGTAAAAATGAGAACGGGGCCTGTGCTAGTTCAGTGCTTCCCGGTGACATTTTTATGGTGTGCTAAATGCAAACTATGCATTCCCTAGGGTTAAAAAACAGAGCAACCCCCACAACAACACAATGTCTCATATACTCACCTCCGCATACTCATGGAATGGAGAAATGCCAACTGCCTTCCAGTAGGACTTGGTGTCCAGTTCCACCTTGTACACCCCTTCTACAAAGTTCTCTTCTGTGGCGAGCCCGTGCAGCTCTCCAGACTCACTGGTTTTCCTAGCGGGCGCCAATGTCAAGGTTAAATAGGAAAAAGGGGCTAAGAGATTAAATCGCATGGAAAGACACCTATCTATCTATCTGTCTATCTATCTATCTATCTATCTATCTATCTATCTATCATCTGTCATCTTTCTTTCTTTCCTCCTCCTCCTCCTTCTTCTTCCTTCTTGCTAACCTAAAGGACAGAAGTTCAAATCTGTCAGCTGGCCCAAATGAGAAAGATGTGGCAATTTGCTTCTGTAAAGATGTACAGCCTCAGAAACCTTTGGGGAAATTATACTCTGTTAGGAGTCAGAATTGACTTAACAATAAAGGGTTTTGTTTATCTTAAGCATATGTATATGATACCCTGGTGTAATGGCTATAATTTGGGCTGCTAACTGCAAGGTCAGCAGTTTGAAACTCCCCCCAGTCACTCCTTGGGAAAAAGAAGGCTTTCTACTCCCCAAACAGTTATAGTCTCAGAAACCCATAAGGGTAGTTTCTAGCCTATCCTTCAGGGTCATTATCAGCTGGAAATGACTCGAAGGCTGTGAATTTGGTTTTATGTGCATTATTATTAATTTATTAACTCTCTCTATAGTTACATATATGATGTATATATACCATAACTCAGTCAGAAGGGGGAAAATTCTGAAATGAAAGTACAGGAAATTACAGGTGTTTTTCACATCGAGTTTTCCTTTATGGCAGCATGACATAGGTATAATGTTGCCTTTAAAGAGTCATTGCAGTTGACTGGCTGACGGGTAACTGAGGAAGGTTCCTGACTAGTGCTGACTCTGCACCTTCCTGTGACATCGAGTTATTTCTCCTCTATCCCATGGCATCAGCATGGGTCGCAGAGATGGTATCATTTGCACACACAGGGAGAACCCAAGGTACACGGAGGGACATGTATCCGACTTTTCCATAATCATTCTCTTTGGTAACTCTTTGCTAACAACAAAGATGGGAACAAATTCATTTCTATATACAAGCACCAGCACAGTAGCTGATCCTTTGGAACCCATATCTGAGACGCTGCAAAGCCTAAGTCCAACAGAAATGGAAGTCCTAGACATTAACTCTGAACCGGCCTCACCTTCCTTTCCTGCTTCCCAGGAAGTAAAATAACTGACGTATAACTTCTTTTAAGTGAATTAGCAAATACAAACTCAATTAAGAACCACACCAATGCAGGAAAGCATCGATGAAACACTATTTTCCTCTGGTTCCCTGAGGCTTCCTCACCCCCCACTACCATGACCCCAGTGCTGCTTCTCAATTCAGACTAGACCAGAACGTGTACACAAGTATAGAAAGGGATGGAAGCTCACGACACACAGAATCCAGAAACAGGAGTGGGGTTAGTGATACCAGAAGGGTATGAGGAAGAGGGAGAGAGGAGGGGAGAAAGGGGGAGCTGATCGCAATGACTGACACATAACCATACGCCCCTCTACAGGGGGAAGAACAACTCCTCACCTTTCTTTGATCAAGTAACAGAAATTGTACACCTTTCCAACAATTCAAAGACGCTAAGTTGATTCCATCACTGGGGAGACCGTTTTCTTTGGTGTGGTTATAATCGAGTTTGTGCCTGCTAATTCACTTAAAAGAAGTTACAGTTAAATTATCTTATTCTTGGGAAGGAGGGGAAGGCCTGGTCAGAGCCAGTACAGATGATTTCCATTGTTTTATGTGTTTGCAGCATCATAGAGATGGGTTTCTCGTGTTCGCCTGCTAAGCTGGTTCTTGTCTTGTCTAGAGAAATGAGCTTGTCCCATATTCGTTGTTGGCAAAGAGTGACCAAGGATTCTTATCATATATGCAGGGGCACAAGGACGGCTGGAGACATTTGTGTGGGTCAGTGCTTAAGTACATGCCTGCTGGACTATGGAACCCCGGTAGTGTGTTTGGTTACCACATGGTCGGTGGTTTGAAAGCAAGAGCCGCTCTGCAGGAGACAGATGAGGCGATCTGGTTCTGGCCGGATTCATGGGCGTGGAGACCCAAAGCGGTGGTCCTGTGTCCTAGAGCTTCACTCTGAGCTGGCGTCATCTGGGTGGCAGTAGGTTATGGCAATAGAACTCCTGGCTTTCCTCACCTGCTTCAAGGGGTCTATTACCCTAAAGGGCTGCCAACCCCTTTGTAAGTGAGGGAGGGCAGTTCCTGGCTCCATCTCTCCCCCACCATCCAGCTTTATCCTCAGCTACTCATCCAAGGGCTGGCTGGTGAACCCACCCAGAGCTACTGCAGAAGAATGGGCTGGCGACCTGCTGCTGTGAAGAGGACAGCCAAGAAGCCTCTCTAGAGCAGCTCTAGTCTGGAACACACGCGGCGCCGCGTTGGAACCAACTTCATGGCAACAACTTGGCCTTTGTTGTGTCTGTTTCTTTCCTTCCCTACGTGATGCTGAATGGCACCTACGAAGAACACCAAATGGTACCCTGGTCCGTGCTCACTCCTCAGCTAAGCGAAGCAAGAGGAGAGATGCATCCACTGCCTACATTTTCAATCGACTTGTGGGTTCCTTGGTGAACTGTCTCAGCCTCTGTCTATGGTGTCAATGGGAAGGCGAAGTGGAGCCCCACTAGAGGGCTCATTTGGCTCCTTACCCCTCAGCAAAGGGCTCCCAGGCCTCGTCAGCAGTCCTTTTGAACACCTTCACAGCCACATTGACAGCGGGGCTGCCACGGACAGCATCCAGGACCTTGACCATCAGAGGGCACTTGGAGGGACCAGCACCCTGGGCAGCGAGAAGACGAATGGGAAATCAACAGCACTGCTAAGAATGAAAGCATTCATTATGTTTTCAGAAATCTGAATGAGGCAGGAAGTACATGCTGATCCCAGTTCCAGCAACATAAGTTTTGGCAATTAACGAACTCCCCGACTCAGTCTCACACAGACACAATTGTTTCCAAAGCAAGAAGAATTTCTGCCTCCGAACACGTTGGGATGGCCGGGGACCTGTATAATTTACGACAAGGGAGAAGAGAGGTCCCAGAGAACGGTTGCTTTGTTAAGCTTCTCTGTTGAAGTAGAATTACTAAAAAGATGCAATGTGCCATGGATCGTTGTTTTTTTCTGAGAGCCTCTTAGCCATTTCTGCTGTAGTAATTCCCTCTTACTGTTACTGCAGTTACATGCCAGAGTTGATTTTCACTCACAGTGCCTTGCATGACAAAACTAGAACTACCTCATGGAGAGCCCCGGTAGGCGGCACAGTGGGTTAAGAGTTGGGCTGCTAACTACAAGGTCAGCAGTTCGAAACTACCAGCAGCTCTGTGAGAGAAAGATGAGGCTTCCTGCTCCTATAAAGATTGGCAGCCTTGGAAACCCAGGAGGGCAGTTCAACTCCATCCTTCAGGGTCACCACGAGTCAGAATTACCTTGAATGGCAGTGAATGAGTGAGTTAATCTTTACAGAAGGAATCCAGTTGGTTCCGTGATGAAAGGTCAGCACTTCAAACCCACCAGCTTCTCCATGGGCAAAAGGTGTGGCAATTTCTTTCTGTAATGATTTACTGTCTTAAAAAAACATGGGCAATCCACTCTGTCCTGTAAGGCCACCATGAGCGTGAACTCACTGCACGACAATGGCTTCCTTAATGGGGCTCTTTATGGAGGCAGCTCGCCAGTCCTTGCTGCCCCGGAGCAGCGGTAGCCTCCTGGCTAGCCACGAGTGTTTCACGGGGCTTCTTTCAAAGGACAGGGTAGCTAATGGCTCCAGAGGCCTTCAGAAGGAGACCTCGGACTAGAATGCGGCTCACCGAGCATTTCAACGCCATCCACAAACAATCCGATAAACGAAAGGGTCAGAATCTCGTGCCGTTTTGCCCTCCACACACACAATACAAAAGGATGCTTTTCTAACAGTTAAAGAGGAATCGCTTTGTTACTGTCATAATCATCCATTGGAGGGAGGGATAATTCTAGGAATGGCAAAGAAGTCCCTGGGGGCTGGGGCGTGTGCAAACAGTGAAGGTGCTCAGCGGCTAACCAAAAAGTTGGCCACCCAGAGGCACGGCAAAAGAAAGGTCTGGCAGTCTCCTGCTGAGAAAGCCATTGAAACCCACGGAGCTCCTTTCCACTCAGCCACATCCGGGAGTGCCACGAGTCAGTGTCGCTGCACAGCAACCTCCGAAGCAACTGTCAACTCAATGCCCCAAAGCACTGAAGGAGAGAGAGCTCCAAGAGTTCAAACCCATACCGTTCAGTATGCTGGCCAGGACTTCATTCTCATTCGAGGTTTGAATCAATGATATGAAAATAGATACTGGATAGTCTTGCCTCTACCTGAAAGAAGCCACTTCTACGTTGTCCAGTAGACCCCTGGAAGTTAGGAAAGGGACCTTAAAGAATCAAACACTCACCACGGGACCAGCCTTGGATACAAATACAAGTCCAGCGAGGCAGAGGAGGAGCAGGTGATGCGAAGCCATCCTGCCAAGAACCCGCAGACTCCTGTGCTGGCTGCTCCCCACTCCGGGCTTTTATACTCGCCGCTTCCCAGCCAGGCTGCTTATCCCTGCCAGTCTGACTCCAAAGCTGCTGATTCTGATTATTGACTTAGTCAACAAAGGGAGAATAAGTAACCTACACAAATATGAACCTTGCCTAGAGAGATGATTAAAGCATCAGAGCACTAAGTCTGTGAAATATTCTTAGCAGGCCATTTGACCAGCTAGATCACCCAAACAAAGCAAAACAAAATAAAACAAAACACAAATCTTCTCCCTGCTGGTTGGATGCATTGTCCCTCTGGGAGGCCTTTACTTCTTTATCTAGATCCACGCGTGTTTCTCAGCTCGTGGATATTTTACCTTTCATGTTAGATGATGCAAGCGGTAATCATTTATTTCATGTGTAATGATACTTGGCCACACAAGTTTTACTAGAATGAATTAGAAACACAATCACATGTCATACAGGTCCATGCATCAGCAACAGCAACAACAAAACCTTGGCAGGTCCTATATTTCAAAAAACCTATATTTTAGCCAAGCAGTCATTTGAAAACTTTGCTTAGTGATCAATTTCTTCATATTTTGTGTCCGTGCACACGCGTGTGTGTGTTCTTTCCACACAAAGTTTGTTTCCAACCAAGGAATAATGGCATACTTCAAACTGACATGGAAGAGCCTAAACTATAGACAATCAACTTTTCTGGACTGTGTCTCTTGCATTGGGCTTGCTAGAAACAATTCTAACCAGCTGTCTTTCGTTAAAATAAAAATCTCAAAAGTAAGAACTAGGACCCACGATTGAGAACAGATTTCTTCTCCTCTTGACAGATTTGCAAGACTAGAATTTGTAAGCATCTGATGATTCATTGATCAACGATCACCTCTTCTGTGCATGCATGAGCACATGTGTGTGGCTTTGTCAGCGCAAAGGGTGCAGAGTAGAACTGTCTTACACGGTTTCCACTCTGCCGGCAGCAGGTCGCCACACCTCTCTCCCCTGCAGGGACCAGTGGATTTGAATCTCTAACCTTCTGTGGGCAGCGGAGCACTTCCGTTACTATGGCACCAAGACGCCTTATGTAAGGCAATTTTTTTGTCTTTATAGAAAGAACTATGTAGAGGACATAGGAGAATAGAGGCAAACTCTCAGATAAATGCATGTTAAAGCTGATATCCTTCATGATACAGGGAGTGGTGAAAGAAACAGGAAGGTATTCCACGTACTTGGAAATGTGTAGGAAAAATCCTTGGGAAAGCTGGTCCCATACAGAAAAGCAACAATGCTTTCAGCTGAGAGCACACGTAGGAGTGGGATCTGACTATGACGTCAAACCAGGCAGAGTTCTGAATTTGGAGTTAAATGGCCCGAGTCCCCCAATATCTACTTCTGCAGGCCAGTTTCCTACCTTACCCTCTGAAACTTACTTAATCTCTCAGCACCTCAGCTAATACCATATATACTCGAGTGTAAGCCAACCCGAATATCAGCCGAGGCACCTAATTTTACCACAAAAACTGCATGAAAATGTGCTGAAAAACTTGGCTTATACACGAGTATATACGGTATATTTTAAAGGGCAGTATCTATCTTTTTACTTCAAAAGACTGTTTGTTTTTTTTAAATTAATTTATTTTTTGACTTGGTTGTGTCTTTATTGTGTTTTGTTTTTCTTTTTTCTTTTTAAAACATTTTATTAGGGGCTCATACAACTGTTATCCC